ATCAGATGAAATCTTCATAATACTTTATGTCGATGATCTTCTTGCCATTGGATCGAACGAAAAATGTTTGGTTGAATTGAAAAATCAACTTAATCTTAAGTTCGATATGACAATTATTGCAAATATTGAACAATTTCTCGGCATTAACATGAAGTGGGACAGAAAAGAAAGTGTCATTTATCTATTTCAAGAACGAAATATTAATGAGATACTTGACAAATTTCAAATGACTCAATGTAAGAGTGTTAAGACTCCATATGATGGTAACATTAATATTGCTCAAACTGAACCTAAAAATCTAACCCAAAACGAATCGTTTGTTACTCGTTATCAAAGTGCTACTGGTTCTTTGAATTATCTAGTAACCTGTACAAGACCAGACTTGGCCATTATTGTTAGTATTTTATCCCAATTTAACTCGAAACCAGAAGAACATCATTGGTCAGCAGTTAAAAGAGTGTTTCGATATTTGAAGTCAACTGCAAAATTAGGAATAAAACTAGGGAATAATAAATGCATGTTTAATTTAGAAGGTTTTGCCGATTCAGATTTGGGAGGTGATAAGATCGACAGAAAATCATTTACTGGGTATTTGTTCAGACTCAATGGTAATCCGATTTCATGGAGTAGCAAAAAGCAAGCAACTGTAGCTTTATCAACTACAGAAGCAGAGTACATGGCGCTAACTGCAGCAACAAAAGAGGCAATCTGGTTGATGAGGATGCTTAATGAATTGGGTATAGATATTGATATTGTTGAATTATTTGGTGATAATCAAGGAGCATTGAAGTTAGCTAAAAATCCTATTTATCATTCAAGAACGAAACATATTGATATTCAGTATCATTTCATTAGACAAGCAGTAGAAAGTAAATTAATCAATCTTAATTATATTTCTTCAGCTGATAACTTAGCTGACCTTCTGACTAAACCATTACCTGGACCAAGATTCATGAACTTATCAACAGAAGTTTTATGGACAGTTGATTGAAACTCGTTGTGAAATGACAACAAGGGTGGCTGTTGAAGTTAACAGTTAACAATGAACAGTATTGTTGTCCATTCACAATTAGAGCAATTAATACAATTATCTATCCTTTACGATTATCCTTGATTTTACTTGATTTCATTATTACATTATTAAAGTTAGTCTTGATTACTCCGTTCAAGTGTTCATGATTAAACCAATACAGTCTAAACGAAATATTTAACAGTTCCATAACTAATTTACAATATCATTCAATCACTCGACTATTTTTCATCGTTTTTAATCATTTTTAGAAACCAATATCTTTTTTTTGTGTCTATTTGACGCTTGTAGCAAGGCGATAAATTTTACCAAAAATAAAAATATACGAGTTTTTCCGCCCAATTTAACTGGATCATGCTCAACACTCTGAAGATAAAGTCTCCGCGACAGTTTCCAGAATATGAGAAGAGAACGTCTTGAAAATCCTGTCCTGAGGGTTTCAAACTTGAAATGCAAACATCTCTAACACATTCAATTCTTGAGTTATCACAGAAAAAATGAATTGTGAATTCGCACACTAATCTGTACTAAGCCGTCTACAGACTGTAGATTATGATTGAAAAATGAAAAAAGTTTAAATTTTTTTTTGCTTATTTGGTTGAAAAGGAAAGGAGCGAAAAAACTTTTTTTCCCAAGTTTTTGACTCTTTAATGTCTATTACGAGTAACAACTCGAAAATGAATGAAAGACGATTTACAAAGTTTTCAACAGAAATTTTTCTGAGCATTTCTTTGATACACATTGGTTGGCTTTTTTTGTAAGTTACTGGTCAACTTTTACCAAAAAGAAAGATAAATGAATTTTTCCATTTAATCCTCATTTATCTGGACAATACTTAACACTCTTAAGATAAAACCTCTCGACAGTTTTCAGAATATCGGTAAAGGGTCAAAACAGCGAAAGCAAAATAGCGAAAAAACTTTTCCAAGTTTTTGATTCTTTAATGTTAACTGCGAGTAACAACTTGAAAATGAATGAAAGGCGATTTACAAAGGTTTCAACAAAAATTATCCTGAGCATTCCTTTGATGCACATTGGTTGACTTTTTCTAGCCTGAAAATTATTCTAGCCTGAACTGCTTCAGTAAAATTTCGAAAAAGGGTATAATAACTGTACCTCGATCTATCATCATCGATTTTTCCATAGCATATTTTAATTACAATCGCAGCTTATTGAGTTGTAGGCTATCAAATTTTAGCAACATTTGTATCACTTGCATTGAAAATTCTGCCTGCATTAAAACCAAAAAATTGAATCGTAAAATGGATTATCAGAAATCATTCATATCAAGAAAGCAATGGTAAGTAAGAATGTTTTTATGAGTATTTGGTGTCAAAGCTCTAACCTTTAACATTGACTTACAGGATTAGTCTAGATTTGGTAGCATTCGAGTTGAAATTAGAAATGCACTCTTCAACGTTCGAAACACGATTTTATTTAACTAGTTGAAAAGTCGCTGTGTTGAGCTAATAGACGCAGAAGACAGACGAATTGAGTTTATTTGACGCTCGGTTGACTTAAAGTAACCTGAATTCAAGATTTTGAAGACTAAATAAAATTTGTGCTCGATTTGAAATGAAATTCAGCTATGATGAATGATTGCACTTCTCAAAGTCGCTACGAAAAATATTTAATGTCAATTGAATAAATAATGTCAGGTCAAGCCAATTTTTTGTAATCTGAAAGCAGTTTGTTTAAATGATTAATGATCTTCACGATCTTATTGTTAAAAAATTTTTCTTGCGATAGTGAAAAAATCTAAAGCCGATTTGACCGATTCATTTTTACCGAATAAATATTTCTATTTGATAACGAGCAAAGCTTGATTTTAGCCTAATTAGCTCGTGAGGAAAGGCACAACCAATAAATCAAAATTAGAGCAAATAACTGTTGACCGATTATTGACCGTAACAAGCTGTCTACCATTGTATTTAATTGTCGTATAGAAAAGAAAAGATGTAAATTTTCTGTTGTGAGAAAATAGAAAAAATTCGAATGGAAATGGAATAAATGTGTTATATTCATCGAGTTAAAATGGTAACCTTTATTCAGATCAAACGAGTATTAAAACACATAATCTATTTATCTCATGTTCTTTTAACCATATTATAATATGTATTGATAAACATTCATTTCTTCAGTTATGAAGAGCATTCAGTTTACCGTAAAATGCATTCATTAATGTGAGGAATACCGTTTGCATCGGTGTAGTTATGAGCTGAAACAAAATTAAACGAGGCAATAAGAGCAATGAAGAAGATAACAGTAACAAGTTTCATTGAATTCATTTTAACTTTTCACAATTGTAACAATGAACGAAAAATTACAAGTTGTAAGCAGAAGTTAATTTCAAACTAATATCGTTTCAATGAAAATATCCGTCTTTTATACTGCCATCGAGTCTGGCGATGAAGTTTTGTTGTTTCATGCGATTTCAAAAACTCGTGCATTTGAAAAATTTAAATAAATTGTCATTGAAATGGTTAATTGAATATTTACACAAATGTGTCATTTTAACACAATGCATCCAATTGATGACTAATGACAAAGAGGAGTAAGATTTTGATAAAAATGCAAATTTTGCACCGATAATGATGACATTTACTTAAGAGCACATTTTCTTCTTGTTAACAATGAGTTAAAACATACCAAGTTAGAATGAATTCCAATCCTTCTCGAGCTCGTCATCTCTTCCTGGAAATCGTTAAAAATCATCTAACTATTGTTGAGCAGGATAAGATTTTTGATAAGTAATATCTTTACATGATGGTATTGATTAGCTCTGAGAAGTATCTAACGTTAACTAAGAACTAAGTTGTAAAATCTGAATTCGTCACCTTCGGTGGATTTTGGTTTGGGACTCGATTTTTCTTTTTTTATCGGTAGAATATTCGTTTTCGCCACGTCTTCTTTTGATATTTGTCCAATATTGATGCGGACCGCTTCTTCATATTCATTGAACTCTTGAATCAAAAATGTGACCAATTCTACAGCTTCTAAGTTTAAGAGACTCAAATCCGCAATGAAAAACCATCAACAAACTAAACAAAGTAAAAGAAGAAAAAACAATGAAATAAAATCTTGTTTTACAGATTAAAAAATTGAAATTTAAGTTTAAGGAAGCAACTCATATTAATTTTGTTTGTGAAGAAAAATCAACTGAGAAAACTAAAAAAGGGTTGTTACTAATTAAATAGATCTGTTTCATGATAACTCAAGAACTGAATATACTTTACAGAGTTGTTAACAAACAGTTTTATTATTAATAATAGAATGACCTCAATAACTCAAATGCTCATGAACTTTCATACTCTTTGTTTACATCTGTTTATAACCAAATTATTACAGTAAAGCTCGTTCGCTTGAGACATTTGGAGAAAATGAGCATAAAATAAATCACTAACAAATCATGTGTGCAAGCAAATTTCCTTAATTTGTAAATGATAATTCAATTGTTAAAGTTAATTGACAAGGTTGATTTATTTTGTTCTGTCAACAACAGAGGGAGGTTAAGTATGACACAAGTACAAGATTTGAAAATATTTGAGAATAGTGTAAAGAATTTTAAAACAATTTAATATAAGATTGGACTTTTAATTTTTGAAAAATCAAACTCAATAACAAAGAAATTACATCTTGAAAGTCAACTCTCACTCTCTTCTACAAATTTTCTACCCTTTTATATTGAAGATTACTGCTGAATCATTTCTGAAGCCTTTTCTCGTTACTGTTGTTAATTGATGAGCATGATATTGCACAAATTAAGTTTTATATTCGATTGTTTGATTTCATTTTTTCTGAATTAATTAATTTTGTTGCAATAGCAATCAAATTTTCTACCAAGAGATGGAGTTAGCTATACATTTATGCTAACAGCAACCATAATAAAAGCAGATTTAAAACTACATTAATAACGTTCCAATTAGAACCAGAAATTAGTGAAAATAAAATAAGCAATTTTATTGTTTCATTTGATATACACTGTATTTACATTTCAAGTGAATATTTTACAAATTCAAGTATCTAACCAAGAAGAAGTGAGCAATGTTAAACAAAATAAAATAAATTGTTTTTTCAGGTTTTTGTTGAATTGCCAGACTAACACAATCCAATAAACTACTTTGCATTTCTCGAATCGGCAATTTCTTAGGTGAATCAGGGGCCAGTTGACATTCAGTTTTATCCGGCATGTTGACAATTGATTTACCTTCATCACGAACCCATTCACTGAACCATACTAGACCACAATGGCAGACGAACGGATTATCTGGTAAATTGGGAAAACAAAATGCAAACAAATCAAAGAAATGAATCACAAAATAAACTGGATAACCAAACAATTGTTAACATCGAACATTAAATTAAATGTCAGTTTAATTTGTTCATATAGAAACTTACCATGTAAATCAAGAACTTTAAGTGAATCAATGATTGGATAAAAAGTTTCATGAGAAAGTTTAATCAATTGATTAGAATCCAAATAAAGCCACTCGAGTGATATTAACTTGTCAAAAGCACCAGTTTCAATTATTTTTATCCTAAAGGAGAAGGAAAATAAGAAAAATAAGAACAAAATATTCAATGAAAGCAAATAAAGTTTCTATTAGCATGATGTTCCAAAGGTGGAGGTTAATAGCAAGAGATGAAAAACAGTAAAATCTGTATTTTCATTGATTGCTTATGTTCACCAAACAATCTTGAGACAGTTAAATACTAATCAGCACGGAATCCAAGCAATGCATGCACATCTCATCCTACAAGCACTTGAAATTTACGGTTACGATTTAATATGAATAGTAAATTCAACTTTCACCCAATTGAAAAATTAAGAATTAAACTTGATTCTGAATCCAATTGATCGAAAAGTATTGCTTTTCAAGTAAATTGAAGCATTTAATACTCAGATTATTTACAGCTTTGTTTCTCTATCATGGTTGAGTAAAAATTCATTTGAAAACTACCGTTAACATGAAATGTAGAACTGAGTTAGTCTTACATTATAAAAATACTTATATTACAATAATTAAAGAAAGAAAAACGAAGTTACTTTGAATAATGAATAATGATCAAAATAGTAATAATAAAAATAACAAAAGAAAAGAAAACATTTTTCAATATGAATATTATTCTGGATTTACCATGTTGTTGATGACGTTCGTATTGATATCAACAATTCCCAAGATGAAAATGATTCTTGAAACGGAAGGTTTGCAAAGAAGCAAAAACGTAAAAGCAAATTATTTGATTTCTCGTGAGATTTCATAGGGACTAATGTTATCTGAATGAGACCACGAAGTAGCATGAAAATACGTATTAAAGCACCATTATCGGGAAAAGAGGAAAAGTTTTCCAAATAAATAACCAACTTTGTAATTACATTCATCAAATGAAACATTTTTTGCATCACAATTTCATGCTCGAAGCTAATGATGAAAATACTTCGAAATATTGTTTCATGAAAATCAAAATCATTGGTGAAAGAGAAGTCAATTTATATTAAAATTGGTGCTACAAAAGGGTGATGATGAACATGATGATATTCATGATAACATTTGTAAAACTAAGAGAAAATTGATTCTTGTGGAAACATTTTCTTTTCAAGTTCTTCTTCTCATCATTTTCATGAGTAAAAATCAATATCTTAAGTCAATGTAACTTATATTTTCTTTTTTCAAAGAACAATTGAGATTAAAACTGGAATTATAATTAGCTTTTAAACTGTCTAATTTAATGCATTTGATCGCGAATCAAGATGAAAAAGAATAATCAGTAAAACAGTTTTTCATATAATCAATATCATTGATGGAAAAAGGTTTCACCAATGAAGAGCGTTTCTGTTTGCTTATTCAATAGTTTCATTGACATTTCTTTTTTTACTCAACAAAATCAGCTTCAATTGAAGTCTTATTAATGTAATTATCTAATAATTAATATGATAATGATCATCATTATCATCGATTTCGTCTTCTTGGTTCAACCTAATGAAACCAATTACTAAATAGAGATAATTTACTTGGAGTAAAGCGTAAGAATAGCTGAAAATTATCATTCTTAACAACCATTCCTTCCACTGTAACCTTTATCCAGAAAAGGTAAGTCTCAAGATTTGCTTTGCTTTTCAAGATAATTATTTAAACAACATTTCGATGATGAAAGCTTTCAGATTAATTACAAGTTGCAAGGGAAGCTAATCAAAAGTTGTAGCTAAAAGTCAGTTTGATTAAAGTTTAAACATTTAATCATTGATTAATCACTTTGATGTTGAACATTCAAGGTCAAGGTTAACTACATCTTGATTGTAAATTTGGACATTTTAACAATTGAAAAGCATTTTCAGTTTTCATCACTTGTTTTGAAAAAAGATTGAATAATGGAGGGTTTTGAAATGGAGTTTATTTGCGAGTTGATGAGTGACGATTTCATTCAATTTTGATTTGATAACGTCATTAATCAACCAAATGATTTGATCAAAGGTTCAGTGATAAAGGTTTTCACTTGGTTTAATAATCACCAATGATATTGTTGATCAGCAATCTTGCAGAGAGGCTCAAAATCAATCCAAGTGGAAGAAAAAAGATTTCAACTCTGAATTTCCTTTACTTCTTTTTCCTCATGAATAACTTTCAAGTTAATGAAAATTTGATTTACTTTCAATTGCTGATCAAGTTGTAAACATTGACCGATTGATAATCATCTGAAAAGATATTCGAGTGTCAAAAGGTCAACAAACTGATTAAACAAATCGAAGCCCATTTATTTGTATAAAGATTGGAATCTTGAAATTAACAATAAATCCCAACCTAAAACTATTGGTCCATTTGTCCGGTCTAAAAATCTCTCTTACTAACGATTTTCAGAAAAATCGAGTTCAAAGTTTCAACTTTCAGTATGTCAGGTCAATTAAATCTGACTCTTGTTATTTCTGAGTCTTCAAAGTACTTTTTTTTAAGTAACAAATGCTTGAAGAGTTAATAGAGAATACTCAAAATTCAAAGTTTTTGTGCATCTTTAGTTAGATTTTGATGATTTTCGATCAAACAAAAATAACTCTCAGAACAATTGAAGAGAATTGATAACTGGAAAAGCGTATGTATATTAGTACATAATATGTGTACAAACAACATGAATAGATTCTAAGGAGAAAAATTAATTATTTGATCTGAATAAAGGTTATGTGAACCATTTCAACTCGATGACAATTCTACACTTATTTCATCTCCATTGTTATTTTTTCAATGTCTCACCTCAGAAAATTTTATAAACTTTCTTTTCTTTACGACAGTTAAATACAACGATAGACAGCTAATTAGAACAAAACCAAGCTTTGATCTTTATTTCAAAATATAAATCTTATTCATTCGGTGAAAACCAATCTATCAAATTGGCTTTCAATTTTTTCGTTATCGGTAAAAAAATTATTTATGATTACGAGGATTACCTCGATTTTGAATGCAACTGTATTGAAATCGTGAACGGTCAAAATTTAACTGTTGAATAACTCAAACAATTTTTAAATTCAAGACAATCACTCAATGTATCACTTTGGCCAATTTGTTCAACCGTATGATAGATTGAATTTCATTCAAATTCATGATCTTTAAATGAGTTTCTATTCAAATTTCATTTCGATTATGTATTTTAAGATTCGTTTTTTGGATAGTTAAAAAGCTTGAACATCCAGCAGTTTTGGGTCTTTGTTTTCGAAGAAAACTAAAGTAGAGTTAATGAGCGCTAATAAATGAATTTGTCTCCCAGCTCAAGGTTTAGCTCAAGATTTGAATGTGCTAGTTATCTTTGTATAAATTTTTGCATGCCTCATGGGATGAAATAGTTCCATAACTAATTTACAATATGATTTAATCACTCGACTATTGATAATCGTTTTTAATCATTTTTAGAAACGGTTTGGGGTCAAAACAGCCAGGGTCAAAATAGCCAAGGTCAAAATAGCCAAAGTCAAAATAGCCAATTTACAAAATTTAAGATTTAACAAAAATGGTTCTCGAGGATGCTAAAAGGATAGAGAAAGTAAAAATAGACTTTTTGTTGCAGCTAAAAGAGCGTAATTTGAATTGAATTGTTTAATTTAGTTAATAATAATTGATTATTGATAATTGTATATATCTTTAATAATTTAACTTAATTCAAAATTGGCGCCATAAAAACGAGCACACCCTACGTTTGATTGAATTCAATTTTTTTCCATTGAATAATTCAGAGAAACCATGGGATCATGAAATTTTTTTAATTTTGAACTGATGTAGGCCGTAGCTTGTGATCTGAGGTACAATATTGCGCTTATCTCCATAGGAATTCGTTACGTTCGTGTTCATAGAGTTTTAACGCTTTGAACAAGTTCAGTGCTTAATTGATTGCCGCAATATTTGTGTAGTGCTTCACTGCTCTAAGAAATACCATCGGAGAAATAATACCATTGTCATATTCAGAAGTGAGGTTTAGAATGCGAGCATTGATTTCTTTGTATTTTTTGCATCCATTGTCAGTTCGAGCACCATAGGCCGCCATCATCAATACGACTTCATAATTATTCTGTTGTTTTATGATATTCTCGATAAATATCCATAGGTTAGCATGATTCCTTCCAACCGCTCTGTTAAATCCAGCATGCCAGCCCTCGACATGATTATTGGTCCTGGGATCTCTGTCATTGAAATGGTTCCATATTTGCAGAGGGAATCGAGAATCATTGCATAAATAGGTGTTCTCGAAGTACATTAAAAAAGCAGCCATTGCATCGTCGTCAGGCGCATCTTGCGATATTAAATCATAGGCATCCTTAATGTCCTCAATTTTTAGAAAAGGTAATGCAGATAGCATCTTCACAGTGTTTTTCACGCCATCCTCAGGATCATCGGCTTTATAGCGTGTTATCAATCCATGTTTGCCAATGTTTCGCCCTAAACTTTGACCGAAATGGAACAAACAGCTTTTAATTTCACATAGATGGAAGATTGTTTGAATGGCTTTGATTGCAGCTATTTCGAAGTCTGTGGTAAACTTTCGTGGTGTCCACAGTAAACTTGCATGGCTGCACAGATCTTGCACCATTCTAAAAAGTGCTAAGTATCTCGGTGTTGTTGCGTTTGGAAGCAGTGCGTATACAATCGGTACCATCGTGCCATTTTTCATTATGTGTAAAGTGTACAGAGATTGGAATAAGCAGGGAACACTCCTAAAAGTACCGTCAGCATAAACATGATCTGCATCACAGAGGTGCTTCAAGAAACCATCAGTTGCGAACAGCAAAAACTTATCACCACCATCACTGATTCCTCTGAAGAATTTTTCAGATGAACAATTTTGCAAAGTCTCTGGAATAACAATATCTGCAATTGATTTTGGTAGATGAGGAAATCTGCTGCCTCTGGCCCGGATATGGTCTTCTTCAACTGATTAAATGTTCTCAATGAAGAAGCAACTTCCTCTGTGGGTTGGTTCGCACTAGATATCACTTCCATGGTGGCTGATTGAAATGTATCTTTCAAATTACAATAGTTTTGTTGGGATGCAATTTTTTTTGCAAGATTCCTTTGCTGTCGTTGGGTCACTTCCATATTCACTGGTTCATAATTGTGTTCAGACCTTGATACAATCACTTCGGAGTCAAGGGTCACTTTCCCTGAGCAATTGGCGATTGTGCAGCGCCAGTAACTTTTTTGATCTTTTTGATCTTTTTTACGGTGTAAATAATTATCAAGCAATAGAAGATTGGCACCTTTGTTAGATTTTATGAAGGAATATGATGTTGACATGACGATGAAAAATTGAATTTGAAGTTGAAGTTCGTGGTTAAAGTGCTCATCTTTAGCATGAAAAATGACCTTTTTAGACTTAAACTCTTTAAACTAACTAGTTTAAATATTTTATCGCTTTTGGCTATTTTGACTTTGGCCATTTTGACTTTGGCTGTTTTGGCTTTGGCTGTTTTGACTCTGGCTGTTTTGACCCTTTACTTTAGAAACCAATATATTTTTTTTGTGTCTATTTGACGCTTGTTGCAAGGCGATAAATTTTACCAAAAAGAAAAATATACGAGTTTTTCCGCCCAATTTAACTGGATCATGCTTAACACTCCTAAGATAAAGTCCCCGCGACAGTTTCCAGAATATGAGACGATAACGTCATGAAAATCCTGTCATGAGGGTTTCAAACTTGAAATGCAAACATCTCTAACACATTTTATTCTTGAGTTATCACAGAAAAAAATTTCTTGAATTCACACACTAATCTGTACTAAAGCCGTCTACAGACAGTAGATTATGATTGAAAAAGGAAAAAAGCTTAAAGCTTTTTTGCTTATTTGATCGAAAAGGAAAAGAGCGAAAAAACTTTTTTTTCTAAGTTTTTGACTCTTTAATGTCTATTACGAGTAACAACTCGAAAATGAATGAAAGACGATTTACAAAGGTTTCAACAGAAATTTTCCTGAGCATTTCTTTGATACACATTGGTTGGCTTTTTTGTAAGTTAATGGTCACTTTTCATTGCTTATAATTTGAAAGCATCAACCTTTCAATCTTAATTTACTTCTTTCTTCCAACTTCCTCCTCAACTCAACAACAATTGTAAATTGTAGCTGTGTTAACATCTTAAAATGGTTTCCTTCAGCAAATCCTTTTCATTTAATAAAATCAAGTCTGAAGGGAAGCAGAAAAGAATAATGAAAAGGAAATGAACAAAAACATTGTAATATTAACGATAAAATGAAATTAGGATGAAACAAATGATGGACCCAAAGAGAAGAAAAAGTGTTCAAGGTGAATTGATAAAGAAAAGAGCCTTTTCAGTTTAATTGTCATCCAATTCCACAATTGACCGTATTGATTCAGTCTCGGTTTTTATGTGCCTAAACTCAATGAAGCGACTTTTCAAAAATAGTTGTGAACTTTTGAAGTGTAAAAATGTTTATTGGGACAAAATCATCTTTAGTCAGCAGAGTTTCAGTTAAAGCAAACATGAAAAGACCACGTTAAACTGACTGGGATTTTTATCGAGTCTTTCCGAATCAAAGTTCATTAACTGTCTCAATTCTGAACAAAATGTGTAAAATGAAAGGAGGACTTGAGTAAGCCTTACCTGTTGTTTTTGAGGTACAAAAATTTGAGATTCCCACCAAAGTCTTTAAAAGAGTTTTCCTCGACAATTGTGATGTTATTTCCTCTAAGATCCAACTGCCTTAAACGAGTCAAATTTTGAAGCGCATAACTGGGTATTGAGTTTAAAATGTTATCACCTAATGTTAACCATTCCAATGAATCTGTGTAAAGACAAAAATTATTCAATGAAAATGGACAGTTGAGAAAGAGTTGGACAATCTTGTGTGGACAAATTATTGATGAAATTACCTTCAATTCCTTGAAATGCAAATGGATGGATTGCTGAGATGCGATTCTTTTCAAGAGCAAGTGAATTAAGTGAGCTTAAAGATTGGAAAGATTTTTCAGGTATTTCCTTGATATTATTGGAAGCTAAATTGAGTGCATCTAAACTATCAGAGGCAGAGAAACCTTTAAATGTATTAACATCTATTGAAGTTATTCTGTTTTCATGGAGCTGAAGTCTCTGGAGGTTGAAATGGAAAAGAAAGAAGCACGAAGAAGAAGAAAAAGAAGGAAAAAACAAGATTAATGGATAAAATAATAATGTTGTTGTTAGCTTTTGATTATAAGAATGATTTTCAAAGTAAATGTTATTCAAATCTGAAAAGTGTTGAATGTGAAAACTTGAAAAGCTTCAAAAATAATGGCATCAGAATGAAGTGTAAAAAAGAGATGCAAAGTAAATACAAAACGCCATTTAAAAGCGTAAACATTTTAATCGCACTTTGATTGTTTTGCTTTGATTGAAGTGACTTTAATTTTCAATTATCAACTTATTAACTTCACTTTTGTCTCTTCAACAATTAATCTTTTCACAAGTTAACGACTCCAATTCCTTTTCTATTCCAAACAATTAATCTTTTCATCAAAATCATTTAACTTGAAGAACTTATCATTTTAAAATTTCCTTCTCTCCTCTGATCATCTCAATGTAAATTCAAAGTTTGATTGAGCTTTCGAGCGAACCAAAAGTTCATGCAAAATAAAGCTTCGAAAAAGTTTAAATTGGCTCTCTATGAAAGCTTATAAAATAATGCAAAAAGCATAAGCCAATCTACCCGATTCTTTAGACATGTTCTCCAGCTATATTTTCTGCTTCTCATATTTGAAATGAATCCAACAAAAAGGACAGAAAAAACCTTAGAGTAGAAAATGAGAGCCAAAAAGTAGCTTTTTGCTTCGAAGTCCCCTGAATGGTACCTGTTTGACCTAGATCGCTATCCTTCCAGATTAGTAGCCTAATTATGTGGATGAAGAGATTTACTTAGATAGCTACCATGAATGATCTGAAAAACATACGAAACCTCGGGACTTTTTGATATTCCTAATATAACCATTTCATCTGAAAGGATATTTGATGTTCAAAAGGTTGAAAAATTAATTAAAATAATCGAAACCTATTTGGATACAGATTGGAATCTTGAAATTATCAATAAATCTCACCCTAAAACTATTGTCCATTTGTGAAATTCAAAAATTTCTCTTATTAAAGATTTTCAGCAAAATCAAGTTCAAAGTTTCAATTTTCGGTACAACAGGTCATAATCTTGCACAACAATTCAGTCACTTGTTATAACTGAATCTTCAAAACGGTTTCTCACTCAATCTTCATTAAAGAGAAACAACTTATTGTTGGTACAATGATTGACAAGGATATTGATAATAATTAGTAAAATGATCAACAAAATCCTAATAACCTTGATTGTCACAATTTATGTCTATCGGTGTTTCAACCTCATAGCCTAATTCATTCATCAATGATTTTAACCAAATAGCCTCTTTAATTGCCTCAGTCTCAGCCATATACTCGGCTTCAGTTGTCGACAAGGCGATAGTTTGTTGCTTTTTGGTGTTCCATGAAATCAAATCACCATTCAAATAGAATGAATATCCAGTCGCTGATCTTTTATCTTCGAAATTACCACCCCAATCAGCATCAACATAGCTCTCAAGAACTAAATCACGAAATAAAAAATTAAAAATTCTGATATCAGTGCACACAAGATCTGTGTAATTGTTTTATTTTTGTAACGCAAAACGAATTGCTAGATTTTTAGTTTGTTCACATTTTGAATTTTTGACATTTTAAATTCAGAAAATTTCTTATTGACGTCACTCACCAGATCTTTTTGCTTTTGTCAAATTTCTTTAATTTTGTCAAGTGTATCCTCTCGAACAGTTTTAGCTTGGTCAATTGTGTCTTTTATTGTTTCGAGTATTGAATCCAACGTCTCTCTAACGAAAGAAACTTACCTAATTCCGTTTCAATATCATCATCATCATCTGCAAGATAAGCATTGAATATATTGAAAGCAATGTAGAAGATTAGATACAATTCAAACTGTCGCATTTTAACTTTTCTATTACACAGTTGAAAAATTGATAATATTAGAACACAAAATAGCTTTTTATGCTTTTATATTGAAATGAAATATCTTCACTGGAATCACTTCATTTTATACTATTTAATAGTTTCTTTAGTGTTTTTTCATTTGTTTTAAATAAATATCTGTAGTGATATACGGAAAGGAAATTGAAAAAGAAAGGAAAATAAAGCACTACAACGAAAGTGGTTTTTGATTTGTAAATATTTTATTGAGAGTAAAAGTTAAGGAGTTTACAGTCTTCTAGCGAAGCTTGGAATCTGACCCTAAAGGGACAAATTTGGCTTTTATAACCGTCGAGCTCACTTTGAGTGCTCACTTCGAATACTCACTCTGAGAACTCAAACTGAATACTCCCTTTGAGGGCTTAAGCTGAATACTCGTTATGAGCGCTCATTTTAGGGCTCAAATAGAGTGCTGATTAAACTTAGTCGAAAAGGGAAAAAGAAATAGAATTTAAAAGGGAAGGTTAAAGGTTAAAGGATTAAAGGTTTAAAGTAAAAAAGTAGTCCTTATTGTAATCTGGTCCCCATAATATCAACGTTTCATTAACTATTCACAAGAATAAATCGAACTGCTGATACCTGAATACATATAAACAGTTTTTAAAATAAAATGATTGATCTTTATTCGAAACAAACAAGAAACTGTGTTTCTAATGGAAAGGTTTTTTTCTGCTAGCCTCGCAATTCAATTTATTTTGCCTCTTTTGATTCACTTAATGAAGGCATAATTGGCAAGTGTTTGATCAATTGACTCGAATTTCATACGTGTGCAAAGTTAGGTTGTGTGCTTGTTGTCTGAAAAAATGTCAACTTGAAGTCTAGACATTCTACTTTGCATTTTATTTGAATGAATGTGCAAATTTCTATTTTCACTACCTTATAATATCAAAACTGCAAAATACCAAAAATTGATTTATACACAAGCCTACTTGAAAAACACAACTGTCTGCTTTATTGAATGAGACAATGAGACCACATCTTTAGCTTGATACTAACAGTATTTACAAATCTTGACCTTTTCTATTTCTATAATATGATAACTCAAGAACTGAATGTACGCTAATCAATTTTTGATGAACAGTTTTGGAATGACTTAATTAACTCAAATGCTCATCAAATTCCATACTCTTTGTTTACATCTGTTTATAATCATTACAGTGAAGCTCGTTTGTTTGAGACATTTAGAGTAAATGAGCATAAAATAAATCGCTAACAAACTTGTGTGCAATCAAATTTCCTTAATTCCTAGATGATAATTCAATAGACAAGACTAATCTATTTTGTTTCGCACACAACAGATGGTGGTGAGGTATGAGTCAAGTAAAAGATTTGAGAATAGCAATCAACTTTTCTAACAAGAGATGGAGTTAGCTATACATTTATGCTATCAGCAGCCATAATAAAAGCAGATTTAAAACTAAATTAATAACATTTCAATTAGAACCAGAAATTAATGAAAATAGAATAAGCAATTTTATTGTTTCATTCTTGTTTCTCATTAAATATACACTGTATTTACATTTCAAGTGAATAATTTACAATTGTAAGTATCCAACCAAGAAGTGAGCAATGTTAAACAAAATAAAATAAATTGTTGTTTCAGGTTTTTGTTGAATTGCTAAATTAACACAATCCAATAAACTGCTTTTCATTTCTCGAATCGGCATTTTTTTAGGTGAATCAGGGGTTAGTTGACATTCGGTTTTATCTGGCATATTGACGATTGATTTACCTTCATCACGAACCCATTCACTGAACCATACAAGACCACAATGACAGACAAACGGATTATCTGGTAAAATGCAAAAAAGAAATGAGTTTAGAGAAATTAACAAAAAATGAATCACAAAGCAAACTCGGTAACCAAACAATTGTTAACATTGAACATTAAATTAAATGTCAGTTTCATTTGTTCATATTGAAACTCACCATGTAAATCAAGGACTTTGAGTGAATCAATGATTGGATAAAAAGTTTCATGAGAAAGTTTAATCAATTGATTAGAATCCAAATAAAGCCACTCGAGTGATATTAACTTGTCAAAAGCACCAGTTTCAATTATTTTTATCCTAAATGAGAATAGAAAGAAAAAAATTAAGAACAAAATTTTCAACGAAAGCAAATAAAGTTTCTTTTAGCATCATGTTCCAAAGGTAAAGGTTAATAGCAAGAGATGAAAAACAGTAAAATCTGTATCTCCATTGATTCCTTACGTTCACCAAACAATCTTGAGACAATCAAATACTAAGTAACACGGAAATCCAAGCAATGCATAAACATCTCATCCTTCAAGCACTTGAAAATTAATATCTGTTACGATTTAATATGAATAGGAAATTCAACTTCAGAAAATTGAATCATCAACTTTCACCGAATTAAAAAGTTAAGAATAAAACTGGATTCTAAATTCAATTGGTCGAATAGTATTGCCATTCAAATAAATTGGAGCATTTAATACTCAAATTGTTTACACCTTTTTTTTTCTATCATGGTTGAGCAACAATGAATTCATTTGAAAATTATCATTAACATGAAATGTAGAACTGAGTTAGTCTTAAATTATAAAAATATTTATATTGCAATAATTAAAGAAAGAAAAACGAAGTTACTTTGAATAATGAATAATGATGAAAATAGTAATAATAAAAATAACAAAAGAAAAGAAAACATTTTTCAATATGAATGTTATTCTGGATTTACCATGTTGTTGATGTTGTTCATATTGATATCAATATTCCCAAGATTAAAATGATTCTTGAAACGGGAGGTTTGCAACTAAGCAAAAACGTAAAAGCAAATTATTTGATTTCTCGTGAGATTTCATAGGGACTAATGTTATCTGAATGAGACCACGAAGTAGCATGAAAATGCGTATTAAAGCACCGTTATCGGGAAAAGAGCTAAAGTTTTCCAAATAAATAACCAACTTTGTAATTGCATTCATCAAATGAAACATTTTCAAATCACTCAAACTTTTCAATTTCACTCTAGAAGCTAATAATAAAAATACTTCAAAATATGGTTTCATGAGAATCATAATCATTAGTGAATGAAAAGTCAATTTCTCTTGAAATTTGTACTAAGAAAGGGTGATGATGAATATGATGATATTCATGATAACATTTGAAAACTAAGAGAAATTGATTCTTGTGAAAACATTTTCTTTTCAAGTTTTTCTTCTCGTGACTTTCATGAGTAAAAATCAATATCTTAAGTCAATGTAACTTTCATTTTCTTTTTTCTCAAAGAACAATTGAGATTAAAACTGAAATTATAATTAGCTTTTAAACTGTCTAATTTAATGAATTTGATCGCGAATCAAGATGAAAATGAATAATCAGTAAAACAGTTTTCCAGTTGATCAATATTATTGATGGAAAAAGGTTTCACCAATGAAGAGCATTTCTGTTTGCTTATTCAATAGTTTCATTGACATTTCTTTTTTTACTCAACAAAATCAGCTTCAATTGAAGTCTTATTAATGTAATTATCTAATAATTAATATGATAATGATCATCATTATCATCGATTTCGTCTTCTTGGTTCAACCTAATGAAACCAATTACTAAATAGAGATAATTTACTTGGAGTAAAGCGTAAGAATAGCTGAAAATTATCATTCTTAACAACCATTCCTTCCACTGTAGCCTTTATCCAGAAAAGGTAAGTCTCAAGATTTGCTTTGCTTTTCAAGATAATTATTTAAACAGCATTTCGATGAAAGCTTTCAGATTAATTACAAGTTGCAAGGGAAGCTAATCAAAAGTTATAGCTAAAAGTCAGTTTGATTAAAGTTTAAACATTTAATCATTGATTAATCACTTTGATGTTTCAATTGAGTATTCAAAGTCAAGGTTAACTATCTTGATTGTAAAGTTGACCAACATTTGAACAATTGAAAAGCATTTTCAGTTTTCATCACTTGTTTTGAAAAAAGATTGAATAATGGAGAGTTTTAAAATGGAGTTTATTTGCGAGTTGATGAGTGACGATTTCATCCAATTCTGATTTGATAACGTCATTAATCAACCAAATGATTTGATCAAAGGTTCAGTGATAAAGGTTTTCACTTGGTTTAATAATCACCAATGATATTGTTGATCAGCAATCTTGAAGAGAGACTCAAAATCAATCCAAGTGGAAGGAAAAAGATTTCAACTCTGAATTTCCTTTACTTATTTTTCCTCATGAATAACTTTCAAGTTAATGAGAATTTGATTTACTTTCAATTGCTGATCAAATTGTAAACATTGACCCAATTGATAATCATCTGAAGGGATATTTGAGTGTCAAAAGGTCGACAAACTGATTAAACAAATCGAGACCAAGATTATTTGTATAAAGATTGGAAGCTTGAAATTATCAATCAATCCCAACCTAAAACTATTGGCCCATTTGTGAAATCTAAAAATCTCTCTTACTAACGATTTTCAGAAAAAATCGAGTTCTAACTTTCTGTACAACAGGTCACTTAATCTGGCACTTGTTATTTCTGAGTCTTGAAAGCATTTTAAGCCACAAAATACTCAAAGAGTTATGATAATTCAAAGTTTTGCAAAGCTTTTGTTAGATTTTGATTATTTTCGATGAAACAAAATTATACAAAATACAGGAAAAAAAACTCTCAGAACAATTCACATTTTTACTATAAATTCGTACATTATAATGGTCTAGACATGATAAAGACCAAAGAGAAACGTTTTTCCTAAAGAAGGTAAAGGATTCGATTTGTTTATTTCATTTGCTCTTAAGTAAATGTCATCATTATCAATGCACAAATTATTTGCATTTTACCCAAATCTTACTCATCTTTGTCATTAGTCATCCATTGAACGCATTTTGTTAAAATGTCACATTTGTGCAAATAAATATTCAATTATAACTATAGTAACTATTTCAATGACAATTTATTTAAATTTTCCGAAGTCACGAGTTGTTGAAATCAAATGAAACAACAAGACCTCATAGGCAGACTCGATGACAGTATAAAAAACTGATATTTTCATTGAAACGATATTAGTTTGAAATCAACTTCTGCTTGCAACTTGTAGTTTTCGTTGATTGTGACCAATTGAGAAAAGTTAAAATGAATTCGATGAAACTTGTTACTGTTATCTTCTTCATTGCTCTCATTGCCTCGTTTAGTTTTGTTTCAGCTCATAAACGTACAGTAACCGACGAAAATGGTGTTTCTAAAATGGTAACCTGCGCTGGAAGGTAAGGACCAGGGTGAACGGAATGCTCTTCATAAATGAAGAGGTAAATGTTTATTTATACTTAACATGTGTAAAAGCATATAAAGTATATTCTATGATGAAAAATTAATACTAGTTTGATCTGAATAAAGGTTATGTGAACCATTGAAATTCGATGAAAATTCTACACTCATTTCCATTCCCACCCTTTCTATTTTCTCACCTCAGAAAATTTTATATTCTTTCTTTTCTTTACGATAATTAAATACAATGACAGTAATACAGCTAATTAGACAAAAAGCAAGCTGTGATCGTTATTTCAAAATTGAAATATTTATTCGGGGAAAATGGATTGGTCAAATTGGCTTTCGATTTTTTCGCAATCGGAACAAAAATTGTTTAAAAATAACGAAGATTGCCTCGATATTGAAAGTTAACTGTACTGAAATCATCAAAGGTAAACATTTAATGTTTGCATTCCTCGCGAAATGATCATTGTGGCAAGCCGATAACTGTCACCAAAAAGAAAGATATACGATTTTTTCCATTTAATTTTCATTTATCTGGACATTACTTAACACTCTTAAGATCAAGCCTCTAGACAGTTTTCAGAATATCGGTAAAGGGTCAAAACAGCGAAAGCAAAATAGCGAAAAAACTTTTCCAAGTTTTTGACTCTTTAATGTTAACTACGAGTAACAACTTGAAAATGAATGAAAGGCGATTTACAAAGGTTTCAACAGAAATTATCTTGAGCATTCCTTTGATGCACATTGGTTGGCCTTTTTTGTAAGTTAATGGTCACTTTTCATTGCTTATAATTTGATAGCATCAACCTTTCAATCTTAATTTACTTCTTTCTTCCAACTTCCTCCTCAACTCAACAACAATAGTAAATTGTAGCTGTGTTAACATCTTAAAATGGTTTCCTTCAGCAAATCCTTTTCATTTAATAAAATCAAGTCTAAAGGGAAGCAGAAAAGAATCATGAAAAGGAAATGAACAAAAACATTATAATATTAACGATAAAATGAAATTAGGATGAAACAAATGATGGACCCAAAGAGAAGAAGAAAAAGTGTTCAAAGCGAATTGATAAAGAAAAGAGCTTTTCAGTTCAATTGCCAGCCAATTCCACGATTGACCGTATTGATTCAAAGCAAATGTTAAACAGCAAATTATCGATATCAATACCAATCGATTGAATGGTTCAACTTTTATAAATTTCATGTTTTCTCAACCTTGTGTTGTTCATTCCACCATGAACTCCTTCAAAAACTCCACCTTAAAGGTGAACAATCAAGAGATGAAATAAATAAAAAACAAAGCTTCAAGCAAAATGATTACAATTATAGTTTTCCTTCCCTGTCAAAACTCCCAGCTAGAAATGGATAAACATTGATTCACGAAACTTGTAAAATGAGAAAACATGAAATTTCTTGCAACTTGAAACATCAATTACAGTCGAGTTAAGAAGTTGATTGTTATTCATGAAATAATACATTAAGTGAATTCATGAAAGGTTAACATGATTTGTTGAAGTAAACATTTCTATTCAACAATTGTTTCCATTATTGTATTTCAATCAATTGTTAAATTAACAGATCAAATAAAATGATTGAAAGACGAAAGCAAATGAGTTCAAAAAATGAACTCTAATTGAATGCTATTATTACATTTAATGTTGTATTTAAATGCAAACATAACTTGAGGGTGAAAATAATTTACTGTTATTATTGTTATTACCAAGTTGATAATAATTATAAGTTTTAATAATAATGAAATCTCATGAAACTTCAACTCTCTGGATAATAATAAAATAATTAACA